AATTCCTGGCAGCGCCCCTGAGTGGTGTATGAAACCCTTGTCAGAGTAACACACTAGGTTTGCCTTCTCTAGGCCAGCTCTTCAGGAGAATACTCTGTTATACTAATAAATTGCAAAGGCAGTCCCCACCTGCAAACACACTGTACATCTCGAAATACACACACACACACACATTTCACCTGACCCACCAGGGCCAATCTGTGTGCATATGGAATATGTAACTGGTTGGTGGAGAGATCTTATCACAATCAAAACAAACAATACAATAAAGAATAGCTTACAGTTCACACTGGATGAAGATGGTTGTGCATTAACTCTGGAGACAGTGATTAGCTTTGCCTCCTATTTCTGCAGGTTCTGTGACCTAGTCTTCCAGGGCCCCCTGTCTGTCCAAGAGGATTGGATCAAGCATTTACAGAGGCACCTTCTGCACACCAGCGTGCCCCACTCAGGGACAGGGATGGTAGAGGTTTTGGGTCTTCATCACAAAATACAAATAAGCATGTCTGGTGAGCACCCAGATCTTGAGTAGAGTTTTATCTAGAACATCCAGTTGCCTGAATTTGCACACTCTTTATATGTATAATCAAAACATCTTTTTAGATTAGTCCTGTATAGACACATATAATAGTTAATCCAGACTACTTGATAGTGTATATATTAATAATATGAATAAATGTATTTATTAGCAAATACTTTATTATATGCTATTTTAATGTTATGCTTTGCCTTATCAACTTAGCCAATGCAACTTATAGGATTTGTTTGTTCAATATAAGCTGGTCTGGCAGTGCAGAACTGTCACTGTTAGAAAAAACATTGTTCTCCTATGTTTGTCATGATAAAAAAGTGCCTTGTTATTGTGACAAAACATTTTGTTGTGATGAGAAAATGTTATTATAGTAAAATGAAAATAATGTCCACATGTCTTACTTCCTTGCAGCTTTTATGTCATAAACAGAAAACGTTCTCATTACAAAAATAAACATTTCTTAATATCTTTCTCTTTGTATGAGAAATGTACGAACTGAGAAAATTCAAAGGAGCGTTGCCACTCCCATATTAGCAAAATACATGAGGTTGAGTATTTCAATTAAGCTCATGTCTCACTTTCTTTTAGAGCCAACATAAAATAAGATTGTGCTATTGTTAAGCAGTGTACACAGGGCTGTCATTAGTGTGTGGGTGCTTTGAAGGATTTGACCTCTCTGTGCCTGAATCAGAGAGAGCATCTCTCTTTATCAAAGTGACATGTTGCATTATGTTGGGAAAGCTTGTTGTGTCACTGCTTAACCTTCAACCATCAGTGTAATTTCTAAAATCCAGCTGTTATTATTGTTGTGATAACATCTTTTCATAATGAGAAAACTCTCTACACATAACATATTGTTAGAATTATTTCTCAGTGTGTCAGCTCTGTAATGCCAAAGGTTCAGACCCAAAATGGGTTGCTTTTTGTTCTCATTTGTTGAAGACACAAGACTGGTACTGAACATTTGCATGTCCATAACCTGTTCTACAAACTTGTTTACAACTTATTTTGCAGGGTAGCAGAAACTGTTTTCTACTTCCATACAGACAGGGAAATGGGCTATGCAATATACAAAGATCACATATCAAATGCTGGTTTTTCATGGTCTATCACTGAAAGATAGGACAATGTCTTTTTACGAGGACATTTACTTTGTTTTTCTTGTTCTATGTGCACATCATATGCAAATGTTTGCTAAGCACAGCTACAGTTTGTCCTCCTTTGCAGTATGTGGTCTAGTCTGGTTGAACCCATTGCCAAAACACTCTATTCAATATTAGAAAGAAAAACATTAATACATGCTGTAGCATCAGTATTGGATGAAAATGAATGTATATTGCTTTCAGTAAGGCTGGCCCATGATAGTTTTTCACATTATAATGAAAGCCAACGACTATATTGGTAGAAAATCAAAGAAATATTTAGCTTTAATGACCAAATGTCTTTGTAGGTGTTTTATGTAATTATTTCTATTTATTTTTCCTGAAATATTCAACTCCAAACTTCAACTGGAGATTTTGAAATTGTAGAAATGTAGCGCTCCCTAACGTACAGTAAAATTCAGAGTGTTGATGATTACAAGTTATTAAATTATGAAACATTTCTATAAAAAAAATCTTACTTCCCTACTCAGGCTTGATAGTTTTTAGACTTAGTGTTAGTCAGATTCTAATACAGCTGTTTTGTAGATAAATGTTTGTATAGAAATCAGTGACAATAATAATAAACTTGCATGAAACAAAAGTGTCACTAAATTTAAATACATTTAATGAAATATTCTTTATCAGCCAAATATAGTAAGAATGTATTAGTGACGCTGTGGTAAATTATATTAACAATGGGATGTCCCACATAAAGATAATATACAGTACAGTATCGAGCAGAGCATGTTGTGCTGAGATTATATGCTTGTGCTGAGGTGGAGTGTACAAAAGGTTTGACTGGAGTGATTAATTGAGCAAGCTGACTGAGGTTTAGGTAGAACAAAAGACTCAATTTGCAAGAGAATGGTGTTCATCATGTGAGATCATGTAAAAGAAGAGCTGAGCCAAAGATCTTTGGATATTCAGGATATACAGTGAATTCATAATTAAAGAATAAGATAAGGGACAGAATTTCTGATTTCAGTATTCAGTAACAGTACTGACTCACCCTCAGTTTAAACACGGTAATGACATAACCTTTATTGCTCCAAACTTCCAGTGACTGTCAGGTCTTTTGGGGGAAAAAATCTGCTGCACAGGAAGTGATATTTTTATGATTTGGGAAACAGAAACTGCAGTTTTTGTGTTTCCGTAGGCTGCCTTAAGGATCCCTAACTTCAGCATCATTGTAACCATTAAGAAAAGAGTAAATGTGAATAGTGGCAGCAATGGTACGGCAGTAATGATATAACAATGATCTCTGCAAAATAAAAGCAAACGATGAATTTCTGGTGGATTTTATGGAAGATGACTGGAGCTTGTTTTGTGTTTATCGTGTAATTTATTACACTGTGTTTACTTCATTGTCTGCAGTAGTGATGATGGCCCTGTAAATGGCAGAACAAACAAACTTACCAAACAAATATACAGTAATACTCAGTTTATTAAAATACAGTGTTTCAGTACAGATTACTGAGCACAGACATAACTTGAGTTATGCAGCTGGAGTTGACCCTTCCAGTTGTTTAAAGGTGTGTTATGTGATGGCGGACTATTCCCTGCCACAGGCTAATGTTATTTGCTGTAATTATTTTGGTGTAACACAAGATTTCCGTGTGATTTTGCACCATTATTCCCAACAGAAAGTAACTTTAGGGCTATGTGCTATTTTAAACTGCAGTTTTTAGCGTAACAGGCTAAGTATTTGATGTATCCAGAGCTTGATAGCCACTTCTGGGTTTTCTACTTACCAGTGGCAAAGGGGGCTAACCCTGCAGTTTATCTTGGGCAGTATTTAAAGCAGCGATCAAAGCTGTACAAACCAATTGTCATCATGCTTCTCCGGGGGGAATTTTGAAGTACATTAATGCTCCTTCTTTGGGAAATAATTGTGCCACTCTGTGACTTCATTAGGTCTCCTGGCTGTTTCAAAAGATGTTCTCTCTGGAGGTTGAAAGCCACATCGCTGGCAGACAGCATCCCAAGGGGCCGAATGAATAAAAAAGGAGAGATTATAATGAGATTGAGTTAGCCATGACCAGGATTGGGCTTTTCATTATTCCACTGGCTGAAGAGAGAGAGAGAGAGGGACAAGGCTGACATAAAGAAATGTGTTGTTGCAGGACCCACACTCACCATCTGCCATGGGGGTCCAATGGTAGGCAGCCAATGCATGCTTATCATTGCCATGGGTATCAAAGGGGCCTCCTCTCTGGAGATTGCTCCATTGAAACTGCAAATGCCAGTCCTTGTACACACATAAAAACCTGCATTTTGTTCAGAAGTAACACTTGCTATTGGTTTAGCAAATTAAAATAGGAGGAAACATTGGAAAACCTTGAATTACTTTGTGTTTTTGGTATACTTGGTTAGCCAATGGAGTATAATTTAGATAATAATAGTTTACAGTTTTATAATACATGTTGCTGCATCCTGAGGAGGTTATTAACTAATAGATCTTTTTTGTCAGCTAGTGTTGTGTTTTTTTCCCATTCAGTGTCTGTGGCAGCAGTGAACCAGAAATCAGGACCATTGATCATGACCTGTCCTTTGGCCAGTTGTTCAGAAGTGCCACAGACTGCCTGTGTGAAAGAGGAAAAAAAAAAAGAAAAAAAGAAAAATCAATAGGTTTCCATTATCTGGTTGGGCAGTGTCACTGGCCTGTCAATGATCCTGTTACAGCGGTGGTACAAGGGTGACACGAGCCCACACTCAATCGCTGCTGACAAGAGGAAAACATGCTGACAGGCACCAGGAACAAGTTGGAACACAGATTTGCACTTCAAGCAGTCGTCCGAGGAGGTATCGTGCAAGGCCACCACGCGGCAAGGGGCGAGCTCGGTTGGGGTGGGGTGGAGGGGTTGGAG